TTTATAAATCATAGATTTCAATCTATAGTTTTGACCATTCGTATATATTTTAAATTTATATTTTCGAAAATAATATATTAATAAAAAGATATATGTAAATTTAAATTTATACGAAAATAATTTATTAGTTGAGCAATATATGTACAAATAAATAATTGATTCTTTAAAGATCCCTTCTCTCATTCAAATACCTATAATATATTAATTAAAAACGGTAATGTATTAAAAGGAGGTAATTGATTTACTTCCTTCATTTTTAAGATCTCAATTTCATATTCATTTTTTTTATTTTCGAAAATCTGAGGATAAGTCTACAAAAAAAAGGTATAATTTGGGTATAACCCATATACACACTATATAAACACCCCATCGTTAACAGATTGAGAGCACGCTCTGATCACAGAAAATTCCCCACAAATGGTACTTTTTTTTTTTACCTTTCCCCAACTTTTCAAAATGCCTCCTGCTTTTGGTACTATTAAAGACCTCAAAAGAACTTACCGACCCTTCATTAAGCTACGCGTCATTAGAATGTTTATACGCGAGGAGGATAGAGGCTATAAAAATCCCCTCGAATTTATTTTGCACGATTCTGAGGTATTTGAATGACATCTATTTGATAACATTATTTTTTCGAAATTTTATTGTTGCGTACTAATTCGATATAATTGTTTGTTTTATGTACTTTGTAAGGGAGGACGTATCAATGCTCTCGCCCGACCTATGCATATTGCTAATTTCATCAACCAAGTTGAAGAAGGGGTCGTTTATGTCTTGAAAAATTATCAAGTCGAAAGTAATACAGGCATTTACCAAACGACAATAAGCCTTTGGAGGCTTGTGCTGAACAAGGACACCAAATTTATCAAGTGGCCTCATCCTTTCCCCACATATCGTTTCGTCTTTAGAGATTTTGCAACTTTAATGGATATTGACAATATAGATGAAACTATGTTGTTTGGTAAGATATTATTACGTGCTTATTTTTTCCGAATTATTTTATTTAATTTGCAATATTTTTGTCGTGTATTAATTATTAAATTCAATTAACCTAAATTTCTTTATTACATCTTAATTTATAGATGTTATTGGGGTGGTTGTCGAAATACAACCAATTCAAATGAAGACGGTCAAGGGGGTGCCTACGCAAATGATTGTTTTCTCCCTTATGAACTTGGAGTAAGTATATATAACAGTATATATTCATGTGGTTTATAATTGTATAGATTGTTATAAGATTTCATAACACTGTTAACATATTAACTATTAGATTCGAATTTGTTTTTTTTTTGTGGAAGCGATTAATATTCAATTGTATGATAGTCCAATTTTCAGATTTTTTAACGTGGATTTTATTCGATTTTTTAGAGGAAAAAAGAAGAATTGTACCCTTTGGGGACAATATGTTGATCAACTAATCGCAATTGAGCATCATTATATGAATGAACAACAAGCGTTTGTCATAATCCTGCAAATGTGTCGTGCTAAGGTGTTCGATGGTAATATTTTAATAAATTTAAATCATAATTTTCTTATTTTATTTTTATTTTTTTTATTGTCTAATCCCATAATTATATTTTTTATTTAGGCGAAGTGCGAATAAGCACATCAAAGGATGTTACTCTTATCATTTCGGTAGATGTTCCCGAAATTCGTGAATTTAGGAGGAGGTATATTAATTAACAATTGTTATTAATATGTATTAAATTTTTAATATTTTATTTGATAGTATTTAAATTTTTTTATTTTTCAACCATAAGGTTGGCTGCTGGTACATTGAGGAATACCCAATTGGTGTCCAATAGCTCGATTATTGTCAAAACTGAAATTCAACAACTCGAGGATGGTGACATCGTCGTTAGTACTGTTGATTCGCTATATGATAGTGAGGAGGTAATTTATAATATTATTTATTTGAATCATATTTATTAAATTATATTGATGTTCGACTTTTTAACACTTGGTATTATATTTTATTGTTTTATTCTAGGCTAAAGACATTTGGGTGTGTGCATCAATTAACTCCATCATAGATGAATGGTGGTACTTGGCATGTACTCGATGTAGTAGTGCTATGGAGACTGATGGACTCAATCATAGATGCCGAAAGTGCACTCACAATCGCGGCATATTTCGGTTTGTTTTTATATTTTCTTAACTTAGAAATGTAAATTAATTACACGATTACTTCATGACACGAAAATATGATAATATTAGATATAAGATTCAATTTGGAGTGCACGATGCTTCTGCACATGCAAATTTGCTTTGTTGGGATAAGGATTGTCAAAGGATTATTGGCAAGCCTTGTGATATATTGAAGCGTGAATATGCCCAGCGGGAGGTAATATATCTCGAATTTAATTAATATTATCTTTTTTATTTATTGAAAATCGTGTTGTTCTTTTATTTTAAGTAAAATTGGTATGACCAATATAATAAATTTCTCTTTCATTTGCATGTGCAGAACCATGCTATCTTTGATCTTCCCGATGATATT